TTCCATGTGACTTAGTCTTTGTCCCAAGAGGTTTAACTAGAGCCCTGGCATATGAATAGCAGCTGTGAGAAGGAAGAACTAGAACATTCCTTATTTAGGTAATTTCCTAATAACCTCCCAGTTCCCTAAAAATAGTGCAGGATAAAATGCTCCCCTGTACCACACTGGTGCTAAGCAGGGAAATGGGAGTTGCTGGGTAATCTAAACCTCACTCTATTGTGTCTCACTCTGACACTAACATCAGGAAAGCATTTCCTATTTTTAGCTTGATTTGTTGAAGTGTCTTAAAGTTCCTGGATACATAAATATCCATTATTTTGACCAGCAGATGCATACTAATCTCTTAAATAGCAGTGAAAATCTCCATCTTCTTCTAGGTCAACACTTAATATATAGCTAGGGTAAAAGTAAAAAAATTAAAAAAACAAACCAAAAACCAAATAAACATCTGAAAATATTTACTCAATATATAACATCCAAAAAGTCCATTCTTAACTTCCTCTACCAAATTGTTCAGGTAGCTTATATTATATAGTGAGTATATATTCAGCTGTAGGCTGAATCTGTTCCAAGATCTCTGTTTACTTTCTCTGATCTTTTCCAGTTCATTCCTCTCCCAGGCTTAAGGCAATTGCTTTCTGATGGAGGATCTTCCTGCAGCTTTGTGTAGGGCTCTGCCTCCAGCGCCATGCCCCCTCATCACCCTTCAGTGCCATTGTATTGTTCTTTCTTGACACCACCAGAAGTACTGCACAACCTGGATGTTGTTTGTTCCTGCTTCTAAGCCTCAGGTAGTGATAACAATGCTGGAGTCAGCCGCATCTATCACAGAAGCAGCATTTGGTGGGCAAACACTGTGCTGGGAACACCATTCACAGACAGGTTTACTCAGGCTGTAAATGAAGACCTTTGGCCTCGCACTTCTCATGTGCACTGGGGGCAATGAGTTAAGAATCTCATATTCAGTAGGCACCAAGAATAACTGGTAGTCAGAAAGCTGTAGGAAATAAAAGAGTATTTGATCTGTGTGAGGAAAGTTTAGAGGCCAAATGCGTAAAATGAAATTCGAGCTGTTTGTGGCCACATCCTTTTTGTGCTGTTTAACAGCCTGGTCTTGATGGGGTAAAGTCACCTCAACAGACATGAAAAGAAATGAGACAAACTAGGGGACAAGGAGAAGCTGTGTTGGGGTTGAATCAGGTTTTATTACAAGCTTCAGTCTCCTGTAGTGTCAGCTTGAAGAAGTAAAAAGCCAAGAAAGGATCTTGGTGCTGTCGGAGTAATGCTTGGCCCTGTAAGAAGTGCTTCCTAATGGAGGAAAGTGTACCTTTCTGGGTAATGCTGTGCAGATTTTGGGGGCTGATGTGAGCTGTTTTGAAGGAATGAGAGTAATTAACCTCATGAGTCAAGCTTCGGAAGTTTGTGTAAGCAAATTTTTGCTTTAATTTCTCCCGTGCAGACCAGGGACTGTAGACAGTACCCCAAACAGTCACATAGTAAGTGCTGAGCGGTGCAATGGCTTCCACTGATAGCTGAGAGTGTGTCCTCCAGTCTGGCCTGGTCCCTTTGCTTCTGCTTTCCCTCACTGCAGGCTGTCAGATGTTAGGTGTCCCATTTCTGTGTATCTACTGATTCACTTGTGCTTAATTTCTTGGAAAAACAGGACCACTTTGGTTACCAGTACACCTGCAACCCCTTTCTTACTAGAACCCATCCTGGTACGTATTCATACTTCAATTTTCAACCAGTCACCCCAGCAAAACACCTATCTTTTTTAGCACCCAAGCTGTACTTTTTCCTCACTTGACTTTGAAGTTTTAAGTGATATCTAATTTATCTCTGTTTTTCAAGGAGCTTAAAACCCTGCCTTTGTGTATCGGCACATATTTGGTGCTTCAGGAAACAGTGTGAATCCACTTTCCTTCTGCATTAACCATACCTACTGATACCTTCTGCAGATTTCAGATACTTATTTTGCTAGCTGTGTCTCATCCTGTTTTACAGGAGCTTTTAAAGAACAAGTAAGGTTCCTGTTCGTTAAAAAAGCCTTTCAGCCAAACATCAGATCCCTTCCTGGGCAGGGCATCCATTTCATTTGATGCCTGCAAAGTGGTGACTCTGGGCTCACTACTTGCACATCCTCTGTGCAGCAATCAAAGGCAATGCTTGGGGCTGTGAAATGAGTGGCTGTAATACCCAGAGGAGATGCTGCTTTAGTTCCAGGCCCATGTAACTGCTCTGCCTGTGCTCCCTGAAACACTGTCCATAGCTGGTCCCTGTGCTAAAAGCCACATGAAGAAACATGTTTCATTACAGCTTGTTCCAGTGGCTCAGAGGCACTTGACTCAGTGCAGACTTTCCACTTCAGCTCATGTTGTCTGCCTTCATTACATCTGAGCTGAGAAATGTTTCTGCTCACTGTTCCGCTAGTACCATGTTTCTTTGTGCAGATAAAATGCCTGTGCTGTGTTGCCTTCCACTGAAAAACGCTGTCTTGCTCAGATGGGACTAACATCCTGCATGGGTTGTCGTGTGAGTTACTGCTCGTGGTAAAGTGGTTTTAGCTCAGTAACAACAATTCTTTTGGCAACCAGGGATCTTCGAAGAGATTCAAGTGGGAAAGATGGTGTCATTTTCTTACATGGTGTACCTTTTTTCACTCATGGTTTGACCGTCTCCTGTGTCTCTTCTTGGGGCTTCATGTCTGCTTGTCAGGCTCTGAGACAGTGCAGGTAGCATCTTCTCATTCTTGCTTGAAATCCTCTGTTTCGAAGTCAGGGTAAACTGCAGAGAATTTGGTGGCAGATTCCTTTGGCAGTAAGAAAAGATAAACTAATGTCTGACATGACGTATTGGGTGTGCAACCCCTCCCCACCTGAAGAAATCTTAAACCTGTTAGAAAAGTGGGGTATAATGAAGGCAGTAAGTAAAAAGGACAGCTACAGCAAGAGTCTAGATATGGGAGCTTCAACGGAGCCTGTCCAGTGTGATACAGGGCTGGGCTGACAGGTTGGCCTGGAGACTTTGGAAGTAAGTAAAGGTCAGTGGTGTCAGCCTGCGTGGGGAAGAAAGGGCTGTCAGGTCAGCTGAAAAAGGCTTGAGCTTGAGGTTTTTTCTGCCTCCAATTTACTGCCACTTTCCCCCGTACTGCTCTGAAGAGTTCAGCTTAGGACATGCCCTCTTGGGTCTGATTCCTGCAGTCATAGGCAGCTCTGGAGTAAGGGTTTAGCCCAAGGAAATCAAGTCTGAAGGGCATGTGTTACAAGCTACAGGCCTTGGGAATGCCTTTAACTTCTCATAGCAGATTTCAGATCCATATTTAGGTACAGCAGCAAACAATAACTTTTCTTCTGAATTTCCCATGGGAGAAGTTACACTTTATGGGTCAGTTTTTACGTCCCATGTGCATGCCTGCTTACCCTGTCTCATCCCGGAGTACAGGCTGCTTCTGCTCAGCCACAGCCCAATGCACCAGCTCCCTGAGCAGCAGTGCACAGGAGATGCACAGGTCACAGGGGAGCAGAAACAGAGGCAGCCCTTAAAAGGAGAAGGGTGTTGGAGAGGCAGTGCAGGGGATGGAGCTGAAGAAGTTTTGCAGACAGCAGGGAGAAGCAGAATCTGATGTGAAGTTAATACAGGTAGTCAGGGCCAGTGTAGTTATCTTCTATCAGTCCTGCTGGCCTTTCCTGCAGTGGAAAAGCTGTAACAAGAATGGGTCATCATAAGGCTAGAGTGGATTGAAGGGCACTGCTGTAATCTCAGATCCCAGAAATATCTGTGGGATAAAATTCCTGGTGGTGTATGCTCCCAGAGAAGGCAAATAACAAACCAGTGGTGTGTGCCCAATATCTGACCTAGGAGACTTTCTTCTTTTGCCCTGAACCCATATCTTGCTCCCAGTGTGACAGAGGGTACACAAGCAAGTCAGACCAGTTGAGCTTCCAGTGTAATTTACAATTAGTGTTTATCTGTTGACATCTACAAAAGCTGCTGAAAAACACAAGAAGTCTAGAGCCTACATTGTCAGAGAAGGGAACCTGAGCGTGGGATGGTGTAGGTCTGTGCAGGGAAGGTGAAGTAGCATTCTGTTCTGCTGTCAGAGAATTGGGTTGGAAGGCATCTCTGCCTGTCTTCATTGGCACATGCTGGGATCTTTATTAAAGAGCTCTGATCTTGACTGCAGAGGTAGAGGGGAGGCAGGATGTTACCCTTGGCAGTTGTGTCTCATCAGTACCTTTGCATTTCCCACTGTCTCTCCAGTAAGGACTCGCTCATGGTAAGGAACGCAGGTGTGAGTCCTCCAGCATCCCATGTCCTCACGCTGGAAGAGGCTGGGTAGGAGTGAGTGATCCTTGGAAATCCTCCGGAGTGCTGGAGGGCAGTTTCTGTGGTGTAACGTGTCACGGAGCTCACTTCAAAATTACTTGCTGTGAAAAACCCCCATTTGTCACCGTGTCTTACTTGGGCTTTGTTAGTTTTGTTTTCATACTCCAGACAAACTGTGTTGTGGTGGAGTAGCCTAAAGGTAAAATAATGATGGACATGGTGCCGTCCTTCTTTAAAAAAAGAAAAAGAGGGGGGAAACCCCCCAAACAACCAAATTTCAAAAGCTTAAATAAAACCCGAACCAACTTCCTATAGTTTAAAAACACAAACCGCAAGTGAAGCGCCGAACAGTGTCAGCCCTGCCCTCTAGTGCTGCTGGCGAGGAAGCGGCGGCTGCAGCGCTCCCCGCAGTGCTGTCCAAGGCTCGTTGGTTTTAAGCCGTATTAAGTGGGGAGTTGTTTGTGTGTGGTGGTGGTGTTTATAGTGGTTTTTATAGGAATTTGCTGCAGGGCAACAAAAATCAACCTCAGGCTGTGGTGGAAGATGGGCTCTATAAAACCCCCTGAAGCATCTTGATAATAATTGATATAAAAGATAACTCTGATAAACAATTTAACTAAGCTGCAAAAGAGTGTTGATGTGATCTGTGATTAACTGAAGCTTCCCCTCCACAGCATCGAAGGCGAGTATGTTCCAGTGGCAGGTGACGAGGTCACCTACAAGATGTGCACCATCCCCCCGAAGAACGAGAAGCTGCAGGCGGTGGAGGTGGTGATTACCCATTTGGCTCCTGGAACCAAGCACGAGACCTGGTCGGGGCATGTTGTCAGCTCCTGAGGTGCCCCAGAGGGAGCACGGTCACTGCTCAACACCTGGCTGCAGTGAACCTGTGCTAAGAATACGTTGTGTGTTGTGCAGGAGGAAATGCTGCCTTGTCAATAAAGCAGAAGCAGGCCAGAATCAGTGGTGTTACAGCTGAAAAACAAAAAAAAACCCAAAAATGGCAATTCAAATGCTAATGAAAAAAACATTTAGTGCAATGTGTTTACAAAACTGTATTTTAAAGAGAGCTGGTGTGTGCCTGGTGGAGGAGGGGAAGTTTGGGGTTTCTTTTTTATCTTGTGAGCTGATGCTGGGAAATGCCCAGAGGACTCTGGGAGAGGTTTGGAGGAGAGCTCTGGCCGTAGTGGAGGCACCACTCTGAGGCCCTAGAGGTGGGTGAGCACTGTGTTCCCTTGAGCTGCTCTTCTGTCAGCTTTGGAGTACACCTTCTGCTGGGACAGTGCCTGCATGCCTTGGCTGGGGCGAGGGAGAGGTGTTCACTGCTGCCATTGCTTAGCCCCATGGAAGGAACCTCACAGAAGAGCAGCTACAGCAGGGTGGGAATTCTCCGTCTGGTGGTTATGGTCCCATGGCCCCGGCTGGGTGCCCTTCAGGTGCTCCCTTTGCAAATGGCATGTCTGCATATGAGTAGAATATTGTGGTTTTAAAACCTGGATTGTTTGTGAATTTATTTAGGTGCCTTGATGGTTGATTAGCAACAGATTTTATAGGCCAGTATTAAAAAAAAATAAAACCAACAAAAAAATCAACCCAAAATTTGAGAACTTCGCTTCAAGGTAAGTGGTAGAAAACTGTAAAGTAGTGGGTGCTTCACAGCCTCTGTGTCTGGATTTAGACAAAGCTGAAGATTACCTTCTTGATGATATATAGTTGAATGTCTGCTGCAGCATTGCAGTGGGCAGGCAGAGTAACTGTTGTATGCTGGTCAGTATCACAGTTGTGTGCTGCTCAGGTGCAAGTGTGTAAACTGCTGTGCCAGTTACTGAACAGGCTCAGCTGCCTGTTTGGGTGAAGCAGATTCTGCAGCTGCTCCCTGGAAAACTTGCTCTGTAGGATGTGATATGGTCACCCTTGTCCTGACTCTTCTCTGCCTGCAAGATTTCATGTAGTTGTAGTGCAACTTAGGTCTGTCCCTGTTTGCCTTCCACATCTTTTATTTTTCGGATGAAGCATTTTTCTCTGTTCTGTTCCTAACAGTGGATTTTTATTGACTTTGCAAATAAAGAAGTAAAAAAGATGGCATGACACTCTCCTGCTAGTTGTGTGACAGGGTAACTCCAGCTGTCTAGTGCAGTTCTAACATCCACTTGCTGTCATGAAATGTCTTAAGACACTTAAGGTATCTGGAGCCATCTCCAGGTGTCTGGAGGTTAGTAACTACTGTGATGGTTGTTCTACTGTGGCTGTACCTGCATTTCACTGTAGCGTGAAATAATGACCCACCTGCAGTAGGGTTTGGGGCTTCTGTTTGGTTTTTATTAACCATAAGACTTAGTTGTGGTGGATTTCACACTGTTCAGCTTGTTGGAGTAACACAGGCTGCTTCCTTTACAATAAATATGACCATTGTAATAGTTTAACATGTCTTCAGTCTGCTCTCTGCATAGTTGGTCTTGATGTAGTGTTAGAGAATACAGGTGCTGCATATGCACTCCTGTATGATTGATAGTCAGAAATGTTTTAAAAAGCATTGTCCTATCAACTGACTGGCATTACCAGAGCAATTAGGGAGTATTTTAGCAACTTTTCTAGCTGCTTAATCGGTTAGTGTATGATACATACAACTACTTCTGTAAATACATTTATTTCCATTGTATAATACTTAATATTAGCTATTCTTCATATTAACATATAGTAGGGGGAACAAGGAGGTATAGCACAGCCTGGTTATTTGAATGGTAAGGTGGGGGGGGAAGGCAGGCCAGAACACTTCAGAAGGGGCTCCCGAGACAGAGCAGCCAGTGTTCCGAAGTGGTGCAGCAAAGTTTTAGCCAGGCTTCAGGGGACAGGGCCCCAGCTTGGGCCTGGCCTGCTTGTTTGAACTCACTATGTGGGTTGCTGCGCTTTGCTTTGTTTTTTTCCTCCCCTCAGAGACACAATGTTTGCTTCTCATCTGATGGACTGAGAGACAAAAGATAAACTTCAGCTATTGGCAACGGCTGTGCAAGACCGACTAGCAAGCTTTTAACATTTAAATGTGCAGGTATGTGCACACAGATGATGGTATTTGACACTGAAAACAAATCTGTGTTTGATCCTGCACAGGATATTTTGCATAGGTAACTTCCTACAAATACAGGAGACAACCATGCAGCAACATAACCAAACCATCAGGTACTTCCCAAGGGCATGCACAGAAAGCAGCAGCTGCTAAAATCTGGCCACCTTTATAGAGCTTCTGCGCACTACAGGTGGTTCTGGCCTGAAATTGCTTCCATGGAAATGGTTGAGACTCAACTACTCTGGAAGTAGGCACATGAGAAGGGTGTTTGTTAGGAGACAAACAGTTCTGATGCAGAAGGGCAGCGCAGCTCCCCCACCTGTTCTGTAAGCCCTCTGGGGATTTTAGTTTGTACACAAAGATGGTGTTCTCTTTTTTTTTACTGCATGAGTATCATGCAGACTTGGAAAGACTCAAGTAAATCATGTCTTTGTGCAAACAGACAGCACACGACAGGTCTGCTTTACATATTTTGCTTGCCAAAATGACAAATTGAAATAGTAATTTTTTGTTACGAGGTTTTTATTCTCCTTTACTAAATTAAACTTTTAAACAAGATTGCTTTCCTAATGCCAGATGAGACAAGTAGTATTAACAGTTACAGATTGTCACGCTTCAGCTTGAAATTTAACAGAAACAGAGTTTACATCAGTGTTCTTTAGTATTAAAATCTCACCTACCCGTAATGCCTTACCAGGAAAATCAGGAATGTAATTAGTGACAGAAATGTATTTTTCTACTGAGCTCAAGATTTAATTTTTATAATTTTTAGATTTAAAAACAGTCTGCAAAAGGTGTAAGCACCATGAGCTGTAATGTGCATTGGCACCGCAGCTGTACTGAGGAGTAACTTCAGCAGCAGCAGTTACAGTGGTGGTAGAACCAATGCACCTTCCAACCATGCAGTTCTGCCTTCCCAGCCCCAGAGAGAAAGAACACCTCTCTCTTTTACTCATCTTCCACTTTTAAACAAGAAAATCACATCTGCCTGATAATTCATGATTTTATAGCAAAAGGTAGTATTTAAAAAAACCCCAAACAATTCTAAAACATTCATATTTTAAATAGCATGAAAAAGAAAACAAAGTACCTGTGTGAATGGACACAGGGGAAGGATGGTGCTCAATGAGCTCTGCTGTATTCTACCACTGTAGTAATGACTGACCTGCAAAGCACTTGCTGTTCATGACCAATTACAAAAAACCATACAGCAGGAAGAAGTTTTCAGTTATTGAGGTGTCTTAACCGTTTTGTAAGTGTGAATCCTAAAAGTCTTTTATTTAAAAAATAGCTCTTCACAGATTCTTCGTGTATCCTGTGGAGATGTGACGCTGTGCCCTTGTGTTCTGGAGTCTGTGAAAATTTCGTAGTCATTCCCTCCCTGAAAACAGAAGAGGAAAAAAGCAGAAGAGGATTTGACTTAATGTACAGTCACAGACTTGGGGTAGAAAGGGGACACATAAAGGAAATTATGGAAAGAAGGGACTTTTTACAAGGGGGAATGGCTTTAAACTGACAGAGGGGAGATTGAGATTAGGTACTGGCAAAAACTTCCCTGTGAGGGGTTGCCCAGAGAAGCTGTGGCTGCCCCATCCCTGGCAGTGTTCAAGGCCAGGTTGGACGGGGCTTGGAGCAACCTGGTCTAGTGGAAGGTGTCCCTGCCCATGGCAGGGAGCTGGAACTGGATGAGCTTTAAGGTCTCTTCCAACCCAAACTGCTCTATGCTAACGCTGTCACATCCAAGATGTTTTCCAGAAAGCTAAAAACCTGCAAACCTCCAGTTAGAGATTTTTGCATGATGTGTTTATAGCACAGCTGTGCTGTGCTGAACACCACAAACACTTGCACGAGAGCTTCCTGCCCTGCACATTAGTGCTGGTAATGAAAGTAGAACTTTAGCTCTGTTTACAGTTTTGTGTAATTGACTTTTAGAAATTGTTTACTTGTTAATATCAGCTTGTTACGGGACACTACACCAGCACATGGTATTTGTAACTTCTTTTGCATTAGCCTCTTCCTTCCAACTTGGTTTTCTTTCCTCTTAACATCATTGTTAAGACTTGAGCTCTGGCTATTGCAGTAGTGTTTTGGCCTTGTGGCTACTGGTCTGATGTGGCATTTGTAACTGGTTTCAGATCACAGGATCCATTAAAGGTCTTCTCACAGCTGCTGCAGGGAGCAAAGGCAGAGCCACCTGCATGAGCAGAGCTCCCTGAAAGCTGCAGCTTAATGCTCTACAGGAAGCAGTCACCTGATGTTTGTAAGTTGTTTGCCACGTGGCTTCTCAGTGAGGCAAGCAGCAGCTCTGGCTACTTCCAAACTCTTAAAAAACCTTTAAAGCCTCTTTTTCTTGTAAAATTTGGCCTTTCTGTGTTTATGAATCTGCAAGTTCTTTGTAACTTACAAAACTGTAAGTTCCTATAAAACTAAGCCTTTTCTGCTAAATCTTAGCCTGCCGCCATCCCTCAGCCATGCTCAGGCAGCTTTAATTTCACCCTTGTGCTTGCCGTTGCTCTTCTCTGTTCACTATTTTGAAAAGCCTCTAACTTGCCCTGCAAGTGTTTTGCTCAGCCCAATGCCTAGGGGCAGGGGTTATGTGTAATTTCAGTTCCTCAATGCGGAGACAGAGTGGTTAGCAAAGGAACAGTATAAAATTCAATGGAAAATAAATGTTTAATAAAAACCAGCCAACAAGAAGCATCAATCTGCAATAACCAAACATGATAATGTTTTACACAGTCATGTCAGCTAGGGTTTTAACAGAATTACAGAAGTTCAATATAAAACCAAACTCTATTAAGACTGTCAAGAACATTGTGTTCACTTCAGGAAACAGCAGTGACACAGCTGTGACCCAGCACTGCGCTGACCAGTAACGAACAACTAGGTAAACACAGACATGTCTATATTCTGACTTCAATTCCTTCAGTTGGTTAGAACCCATAGTGCTTGTGCTTTAAAAGAAAAGCTCTGAAATATATACACAAACCAGCATACTCACTGGCATAGTCTTATCTCCGAAGAAATAAATAGTCTTGTATCCATCATTGGCAACAATTCCTAAGCAGTATCGCTTATCCCAGCCATCTGGGAACACATCGAAGCTTATCTGGCCTCCTAGGACAGACATGAACAAAGCTGTTGTTAATGTTCTGTTACAATGTTTGTTTCTGTTAATGTTTTACTGTAAAAACACACTCCTGAGGGGAGAGTAAGTGAGAAAACCTAAACAGGGCAAGATCTTTAGTAGAGGGAGCTCTCTAGAAGTCAGAGATGTTATAAGACCCTGGAGTTAAGTCTTACGTCAAGTGTTTTATAGGGTTATCAGTTATTAGTTGTGATTTACAGATTATTACTTACCCATTAAACAAATATGAAAGTCTTAGCATGTTCCCAAGCACTCATGGCTCTCAAAACTGAACCTTTATTTAAAAATTACATTTAATCTTTTTAACTTTAGAAAGAAACTACATGACTGAATACAGCGATTGGTGTATGTACAGCCATACGGTCTTACGCAAAAGACTTGCTAAAGTTTCAGAATAGAAAAAGGAGGAAATCAGCTTCTCTAACACAGCCTGACAGAACAACAAATGCTTCAGTTCAAATCCTTGGACTTTACCCATACATAAAAGCATCATTTCCAGTTGAAGCAGGTGTCAAAAAGGTATTTACAACGTGCTTTAGGAGAGCCATGCTGCAGTTCATTTCTGCCTTAGTGTTTCCACAGCACTAACAGCAACCATACTTTTTTATAATTCTAAAAATTAATTAAGGCAAGAATGTGATAATATACTGGGGGAAAGGAGGACAAAAAGCAGCAAACACATGGAAAATTAATTCCCCATTATATCACTTTTCTCTTTAAGCCTGTACTTGCTTTTGGATTTTCTTTCCTTCCTCACACACAGCTGCAGTGCTGAAGAACCAAGGGCTACTGGAACAGTACTGATAGACAGAGTATTTCAGATCAAAACTGATTTGCAGAAACAACTCTGACTAATCAGAAGCATGTAATATCCTTCAAAATGAGCAGAATCAGTCACCCAACTGCCAATAAAAGACAACGAACTGATGACAAGCAACAAAGTTCTCTCTGTTGATGGATTTCAATTAAAATGTACCAGATGAAAGCCTAAGAGGAAAAAGAGGCTTAATCTTGCATGCAGTGCCTGCAACCACCCCCAGAGAGAGATCTGTCATACATGAGATAAGTCATATCCTCTTATGGCTATGACATATCCTAAGTGACATTTAAATTAAGTAATATTTTAAATGACATTCTTTTAATATAATACCTATAGAAAATGTGAGGCCTTTTCCTGCAAATTCTCTTCGTAAATCAGCTACAAATTTCTCTCTTATATGTTCCTTCTGTTAGAAAAAATAAACACACAACAAAACCAGACATCAGTTACATGCTGTGCTAATTGATCAATAAAAAGATAACCCCAAAAAACACCCCAAAAACATCCAAAGGTCTGAGTAACCAGGACTGGTGTGCTAGAGCCACATTTTATTGTCACTGAAAGCATGGTGAGAATATTTCCACTTTAATTGGTTACCAACTTGTCAAAAATGAGAGCAAACCTTCATGTAGGTGCTGTGTTATTTACTTTTCTAGCTGAAAATCTTAGCACGCCAAGGGAGTATGCCTTAACTCCTGGTAAAATTCAGTTTTACACATGGGGAGACTGAGGCATAGGAGGTCTCAAAACTGGTACCAATCTTCTGATACCATATACTCCAAAAATGGGAGTATATGGGTATTTTCAGAATGCTTTGGCCTTAGGTATCTTTCAGCAGCCATTAAGTGAGTCCCAGGCAAAGTCTTCTTTTGAGGATCTGGATCTCACTTTTTGTGTTGGGTCAGAAACAGTGGTAGCAGGGAACAGAACTCTGATACCATGGCTCAGATTCATTTAGCTGTGTGCAAAGGAAAATAAATGGTGAAGAGTTTGACCCCAGCTTCTAGACTCTGCTTTAAAAGGCTTTAAAGAGTTGACAAGAAGAGGAGTAGTTTTATTGATTTGCATGGATAAAGGCTGGTTATCCTAAAAAGCACCCCACATAAGTATGGTTTTATCTCTGAGAGGGTTCTTCAGGAACATCCTGCAGAGGTAGGATGTTTGGTACTCTGGATATAGGTTCAGCCAAACCCATCCCTTCTGCAAGTAATCACTGTTCACTAGTGCAACAAACAAAATATTGTTGATTTCCTGAAATTGGAATGAAGAGGGTAGTTAAACCTCATGGGAAGGATTAAAATGAAAAGGAAAAAAAAAAAGGCACAAAGCACAAAAGCTTTTTAAAAATCACAACCTGGCCATAACTGCCTCTTCCAGAAGAGTTGGACAGTTTTCAAGAGTTGTAACTCACTTTATCAAGTTCATAGAACTCAACTCGTTCTTCCTGGCTGCAGCTTCTTCCAATGGGGGACACATTTAACATCCCGTTTCGGAACTCAATAAAAGTGCCCCTGAAAAAGAATTGGTTGAGACAGAAAACAGATGAAAAATTGCTCAGAATACTGACTATTACAATGAACTTTCGTTTAATTCCAAACCCAAGAGGGTTATTAGTTTTTGCTGAGCAGCCAGCTTTACACATGGATGTTCAACGCTATGCCATGGAGAACACGGTGACACTGGTGTGTGTACACACTTACCTTTTCTTTGGCAGTTTAATCTTCGCAATGTAACTCAGGCAGTAGTTGATCAGATCCTGAAGTATGTCCTCACCCAGGTACCCCTGAATGTTCTAACAAAATAAACGCCATTCAGTCAAGGTCCAGACTTAGAGATTCTAAAAGCAAGTCACCTGGAAAACACAGATACTGCATACTCGGGCACAGTTAATACCACAAAGGAACATGCCTTCAGTAAGTAGCTCTCAGTTGATGCACACATGGTGCTAACTAAAGGCTCTCATTTTTCTCTTTACTTCCTTTTCTTAAACCACAGCACCAAACTCTTATTTAATATGCTCCCTACTAGTACCTGCTTTAGAAGGAATATTAATTTATTTACCTTCTAGCTTATGCAACATATCCAAATGTGCACTCTGAATTAATACTAAAAAGCAGCTACAAGAGCGCTACAAGAAACTTTCTGAAGCCTGAAGCCCAGCAGACATCAACTATGAAATGCCATATTCCATAGGGCCTCCAGGAGCAGGGTGCTCAGCCACATTTCCTATGGGCAAGCTGAGAGAAAGGCTCTTCCAGGATTTTCACTGTTCTTGTTTGATCAAACACTCCAGACTCTGAGAGCTGCTGGGTTGGAGAATATCCCACAGAATAAAGCTGGAGGTGCAGACTGTCGTTACATGAATCAGAGTGCCAAATGAATGCCAGATGAATGATCAGAGCTGGAGCACCTCTGATGTGGATGCAGGCTCAGAGAGCTGGGCTTGTTCAGCCTGGAGAAGGCTCTGGGGAGACCCGAGAGCCTTTTTTTGTAGCCTAAGGGAGCTACAAGAAATCTGGAGAGGGGCTTTTGACAAGGGCCTGTAGGGACAGGACAAGGGGAAATGGCTTTAACCTGACAGAGGAGAGATTGAGATGAGCTCTTAGGAAGAATTTCTTCCCTGTGAGGGTGCTGAGGCGCTGGCACAGGGTGCCCGGAGAAGCTGTGGCTGCCCCATCCCTGGCAGTGTTCAAGGCCAGGTTGGACACAGGGGCTTGGAGCAACCTGGTCTAGTGGAAGGTGTCCCTGCCTGTGGCAGGGGGTTGGAACTGGATGAGCTTTAAGGTTCCTTCCAACCCAAACCAGTCTGTGATTCTATGATCTGTTACAGAGGTGACACATGAAAACAGCAGCCGCACTGGCTTTAGTCAGAAGGGTGATTGTAAGGGACTGCACTGTAGCCAGAAAGCAAAATTTTGCTTAGAAAATTTCTCTTCCATGTCCCGGTCATTTCCCTCACCTGCTTGCTCAAGAATTTCCCATCTTTGTAGGCTACAAGACCATTTTCTGGAAAAACGTAGTCAAATTTTTCAACCACTGCAACCAAACAAAAAGACAGTAACATCACTTCCCCTGCACGTTTAATGCTGAACTGTATTACAAATTAAATAGGTTAAAATATAGCAAATATTAGATCATACAGAACGAAAGACTCAGCAACATAACATTGAACACAAGATCAAAGTCACTCTCATTTCACTCCCCGATTAGCACACACCTCAAATCACACGAAGCCTGTCAGGTAAGTTACCTGTGGGTTTGCTTAAAGGCTCTTCCTCTCCTGCAAGCACGCCTCTTTGCATTACATGTTAAGGAAGTGACTGAACACCTCTAACGTTACAAAAACCTGGCATACAGCCTGGCCAGAGAACAAATCAAGTGCTATCCTCTGAGGTTTGTTTTCTCAATGTTACCAATCTGCAGCAGATGCCTGAGAGTTGTGAGGATCTTACTATGATGCAAGGCCAGGCTGGACGGGGCTTGGAGCAACCTGCTCTAGTGGAAGGTGTCCCTGCTCATGGCCGGGGGCTGGAACTGGATGAGCTTTAAAGTCCCTTCTAACCCGAACCGTTCTGAGTCTGATGATTCTATGATGGTATGACTTACTGGAGAGCACATGTAAGCCAAACCAATTCTGTATTACTTGGGCATCACCAAAGGCATTATTTGTGTCATCAATTAAATAAAGACCATTAAAGACCACCTTATATACAGAAAAGGAAAGGCCTCTCAAAGGACTGAAGCCGAGAGTCCATCTCTGCATCAGAACTCTGCAGTTAACAAACCCAGCTCCTCAGGGAAGCGCTCTGCAGCTGAGTAGTCTGCACCCGTCCATGTTCCGTATGGAATTCCACTGCAAAGAGACAGCGTTCAAACGCCCTCCCACGGTACCGTCACCAAGTCAGGATCTCACTGTTAGTAACAACCCCTCAACAAGATACCGAGATACCCGCAAAACGCAACCACGGGCTGCACTTCCTAAATGCCTCTAAGTGGCTCTTCAAACACTGCGTGTGACAGAGCAAAGCCGGGCAGCGCGGAGGGACGACGGGCAGGGTTAGCTGTGCCCAACCTCCGCGGCTCCCTCGCAGTC